TGTGTGTGTGTGTGTGTGTGTGTGTGTGTGTGTGTGTGTGTGTGTGTTTGTGTGGTGTGTGTGTGTACGCATAAAGTTTACTATTAATTAAAGTTTAAGGAGTTTAATAGGAATAAAATTTGTGAGTTTGGTGGTTTCTTTAGGCTGTTGAGAGGCCTGTATATTTAACTTTATTTTTTCTTCCTTGTTTAGTTGTTGTGTTCTAGCTGAGTAAGGTATTCTATATACTGGCAGAACAGTCATTGTTAGATTTAAGGGTTACAGTATACAATGTATGAGAATAATCTGTTAACAAATATTTAAGCTAATATTTTTTATTTTCAAGTAGATTTTAACATAATGGTTTATTACATGGATTGTTGCTTAAAATGTTATTTTTCCTCCAGGATCGCAACGCTATGCCATTTTTTGTTTATTCAAAATGGGAGCTAATGTGTTTGATACTGATGTGGTGAATGTGGATAAAACAATCACAGATATATGTTTTGAAAATGTAACCATATTGTAAGTATTTTTTTTAATCTTCAGAGAATAAAAATAATCTAAAATTCTTTTTTAAAAGGAAGTTCTTGTTATTGGGTCTTTGGATTCTTTTTATGTTTTCATGTTTAAGTGATCTTTAAACGTTTAATATGATTTTAAAAATTACTTTGTTCAAAAGAAGTCCATTTCTCTATCTGCAGTTTTCTGATGTAAAATAAAAATGGAAATCTTGTAATTACTGTTAGCAGTAAATATATGACTTATTAGATATCAATTTTTAAATTATTAATAAATATTCATAGTTCAGTTATTAACTAAGCTGTGCATAAAACAGGATTTTTATTTCATATAGGATATTTGGTTGCAGAAATACTAAAATAGGAATAGCAACTTTATTTACAAGATAGTCCTGAAGTGCATGCTATAAGAAGATCATGTTGAAATTTTGGTGTGTTCTTTTTTTGTGATGTACTTCTTTCATGTACTTCAAAACAATAAAAAAAAAAATGGGTGATCCTCAGGGCTGTTTTTATTGTCCCCGCTCTTTTATAGGCTCATTTTATTGTGGTCATAATACAGAATCAGAAAGAACTCCTTGGGTAGCCAAAGAAGTCATTTTTAACGAACATAGTTTTTCCTGCCCTCCTTCAAAGGTTCTATGCACCTAAATCAGTATGGGATTTGTATTTTAGACTTTTAAAGACATGATCCTCATAGATAAATGTTAATAGCTAGTAACTGTTAACATAAAAATTCATATGCATGGTTTTTGCCGTTTTCAGCTATGGAGCTAGACAGGTGAGATTTCAGAGGCCTAGTTTTGCCACTCACATAACATTAAAACTATAGCAAACCATATTTTGTGGGTTTTGATCCAGTGTCCCACAGTAACAGTATAGCCTGGAAAAATAAAATGCATTGTCCTGGATTGTAAGTATTAATGCAGGCCTTCTTACAAGCTGTATTGAACCAAAGGAATTTATTTAGGGTCCAAAACATATCCCTAAATGCTTATATAATTGAGGCTAAAAAATTATTTTTTCTTGGTTATCTAAATACATTCATTTTCATTATCGACTATTGCTAGCGAATTTATTTTTCTGCCAGAATTACCTGTTAATGGGCTCTTTTCTTCACATCACTTTGCTATTGTTTGTTTTTGTCACAGAGACAAAATCAGACTTTTTTTTTCCAGGGAGGGAACAATAGAAGTTAGGAAGACAACACATGATTTATAATTTCTTGAAAATTCTGTAAATATTTTAAATTGTTCTAAAAATAACTGCCAACAAATGCTTTAAATGTTGAAAAATGTGCTTTTTGTTATGATGATTGTTTTTAATAAGTATTCAATATTTATGAATCTCTGCTTTTTCTCTAAATATTGACATTTGTTAGTCATTACCAAGAATACTGTATGTTTAAAAGTTGCCAAATAATAAACTATAAAAATAGCTGGAAGTTATTTCTGGGATTTATTCAAACTATAGATTGGCCATTTATATCTTTAAGAATCTGTGCTCCATTTTTTAAAACCTCTGAAACTGATGGATCTTCCATCTGCAAGCAACATCAGCTGCTGATGGACCTCTTTTGCAGTCTTAAGTATTTTTTATTGTTGGTAACACCACCACAGCCTTTAATGCTAAAGGTAGTTCATTGAGTCTGAAAAAGGTTAAAGCCAATCTTAACATTTGCTAAAATTGAAGAATTTTGCATATTGATTTAATAAATATATATCTAATACTGTCTACATTCCAGGCACAATACTAGATTAAGAACACAAAGATCACCCAGACAACACCCATTCTCAAGGAATTCATGCTTTGAAGTATATATTTTCCCCTATATAACCAGATAGTAAAATGTTATTTATAGTTATTAGGTACAAAAGTGAGGGAGGATCAGAGGACACAGTGACGAGTGCACTGTAAGTGACTCTTTTTAAAGAAGAAATGAAAACTGAAGGTTTAGCAGATTTTCTTTTGGAAGAACAGTCATTTCAGAAAATTACACATATAAATATCTTTAAAATGTATTAAAGGATGACTAGGGAAAATAGTATTAGCAACAAAATGGCCAGGGTATTTTATTCTTTCTTTAAGATGCCTATGTATATATTAGTTAAATTGAGTTAAGATTGCCCTAGTTTTGAAGCTGATATCTCTGAAAGTTGCAGTAACTCTCTCAGGTCATTTAGATGCTAAATAAACACTGAGATATTCTGTCTCATTAACATATATTAACATAAACTTATTTCAAATTGTTATTTTTTTCCCATAAACCTTGCACTTATTGAGGAGATTTTGCAACCTTCTCTTGGCTCCCCTGCAGTCTTTTATTTTAAAAATAAATTTTATTGTGTATATTTGAGGTTTATAACACGATGTTACAGGATACATATGAATTGTAAAATGTTACTATAGTCAAACAGATTAACATCCATCATCTCACATAGTTACTTTTTTTGTGACAAGAGCAGCTAATATCTATTTAACAAAAATCTCTACATAACACAATTTTATTAATATTTGTTTTCATGTTTTTACAGCACATTATATCTCTAAACTTTTTCATTCTCCCTCCCTATCTGCTATTTTGTGTCCTTGGACCTATATCTCCCCATTTTATCTCCCCCAGTCCTTGCCTAGGATAACCACTGTTTTATTCTCTATTTCTGTGGTTTTGGACTTTTTTTTTTTTTTTTTAAATATTCCACATATAATTGAGATCATACAATATTTTTCTTTCTATGCTTGGCTTATTTTACTTAACATAATGTCCTCCGAGTTCATCCATGTTGTACCAAATGGCAAGATGTTTTTTTTTTAAAGGCGGAATGGTCTTTGATACACACATACCTCATTTTCTTTATCCATTTTACCACTGATGGACACATCTTGGCTATTGTGAATAATGCTTCAATGAACAGGGTAGTGAAGATAATTTCACAAGGTAATGATTTTGTTTCCTTCGAGTATAAACCCAGAAGAAGGATTGCTGGATCATATAGTAGTTCTATTTTTAATTTCTTTATGAACCTCTATACTGCTTTCCATAATGGCTGTGCCAGCAGTATTCTGTGGTTCCCTTTTCTCCATACCCTTGTCCACATTTATCTCTTGCCTTTTTGATAATAGCCATCCTAATGGGTGTGAGGTAATATCGCATAGTGGTTTTAATTTGCATTTCCCTGATGTCAAATGGTGATTTTTAAATGTTATATAAACATAAAAGAATAATTTTATTTTCTACCAAATTAAATTTCTAATATTATGAATGCCCTTGTTTTTAGTAATGAAGCAGGGCCAGACTTTCATATAAAGGTGGAAGTATATAGTTGCTGTACAGAAGAATCTTCTATAACCAATACACCAAAAAAGCTAGCTAAGAAACTCAAGACATCTGTAAGTAAAGCTACAGGAAAGAAAATAAGTTCAGTGCTTCAAGAAGAGGATCATGAGACGTGCTTGCTCCTCAACTCTGCTGTTTTGTAAGTTTTCAATACTATATTTATGGTGACATAATAATGCATTTGTGATATTTTAAACTATTGTATGTGAAGTGTACCTTTACTTTATAAATGGAAAAACATCCTGAAACAAAAACAAACTTAGTTGTTTGACATTTATTCAACTGAAGTATCCTTAATACCCACCTTTAAAGGTAGGAAGTTGGGTGAGAGTGTTTTTAGTGATTTGGAATTCTGACACAGGTTGACTGTCCCTTATCTGAAAGCCTTCAGACCAAAAGTGTTTTAGATTTGGACTTTTTCAGATTTTGGAATATATGCATATATATAATTAGATATCTTAGGGATGGCACCCAGGACTAAACATTAAATTAATTTTATTTTATTTTATTTATTTATTTATTATTTTTTTGGGACGGAGTTTTGCTCTTGTTACCCAGGCTGGAGTGCAATGGCACGATCTCGGCTCACCGCAACCTCCGCCTCCTGGGTTCAGGCAATTCTCCTGCCTCAGCCTCCTGAGTAGCTGGGATTACAGGCACGTACCACCATGCCCAGCTAATTTTTTGTATTTTTTAGTAGAGGCGGGGTTTCACTATGTTGACCAGGATGGTCTCGATCTCTTGACCTCGTGATCCACCCGCCTCGGCCTCCCAAAGTGCTGGGATTACAGGCTTGAGCCACCGCGCCCGGC